CTTTTCTAGTGCTATCACTCCCTAATCCATGCCCGGTACTGACTGCTCAGCTGTGCCAATCCTTGGTATAGATTAATGTTTTCAGTATCACTCTCTCTCTCTTTCTGTATCTCTCTGTCTCTATTACAGAACAGCATTCTCAGACATCTGCCAGAATCAGCCCTTGGAAATTTGCTAGAATCTATTCTGTGGGATCTCCTTCAGTTTCCAACAGTGCTGTAGTAAATACATCCTCCAAAATGCTAGAGCAAGAGAATGCAAAGCTATTTGATACACTATAAAGCCAGTCCTTTTTGCTAATGTATTTTCTCTGCATATGTTCTCTGTTTTTGTACCAGTTGGTACAAACTAACTGCACTAGCTTAGCGGAAGACCTCCACAAGTCAGTGAGATAGTTTTTCTGGCTCTCTTTAAACATTTGAAAATTCCTTATAAACTATTCATTCTTGAGCAGAGAAGTGATTTAATGCATATACTCCTGGCTCCCAACCCAAGTGGAACTGCCCAGATGTAAAAGTTAAACGTAATGCACACTGATCAGAAAACTTCACAGAAGAACATTAGTTTCACTGAAAGCAGATTGCTCTTGATACTAGATTCATCAGCTTGATTTATAGATCCTCCTCTGCAGAATTATGAAACAGAAGTCTATTAAATCCAAAGATGTCTATTAGGTTGGCCTGCCCATAAATGTTGTTTAAATATATTGCATCATCTTGCATATTAATATCTTGCATTACATGCATTGTGACACATAGGTTCAGCTGTTAAAACCACATGGAATTTTTTCTTGCCCTGCATGTATTCTGCAATAGGCAAGTAAGTGGGATAATAGTGAGGAAATAAACTATTACTGTCAGAGGTCACAGGGACCCCAAGTATTCTATCAAGGACTCTGAAAAGCCACCTTTCAGGTATTAAACACCTTGTCTGAGAGTTTTAAGGCAGATTGCCAAGAACGTGTCTCCTAAATGCTAACATAATCAGTAAGCTGGAAAATGGTCATGTCAAAACATATCCAAGCAATATGTAGGACTTACAGGGCACAGAAAGATCAACATACATTTGCTGTCACAAACTTTTTATACATGCATAAAAGAACACACACAACATATATAGACAAAGCATACACAAATAATATGTGCTTCTATACATTGTTGATCTTTACATAGATGGGGGTATTGATTTTTGTTATTAGATTGTATAGTATCTTTTTTTTAAAGAATGTACAAGTCACCTTGGAAGTCTCTGTAATGGAAAGGGCACATATAAATGGTCTAATAATAAATGACTCCAGTGTTATTCAGGGAGCATAATAGTTCTATCCTAAATGGAGTTATACCCGTCTAATCCCATTGACTTCAACAGACATAGAAGGGTATAGCTCTGCTTAGGGCAACAGCACTAGCCTGTGGGTGGTTATAAACCATGACAATAACTTAATGAAATTTTCTTGTTCAGTAGATGTTACAGCTCCAGGTACCAGTTGCTGGAACAAACAAGAAGAGAGGACTGTCACCTTCATGGCCAGTTTGCAGGTTCTAAACAGAGTCTGCCTGACTGCTGATGGTACCAGAATGCTGGACCTGAAGATCACTGTTCTGCTCCATCGAGGCTGTTCTTATTTGTATGACCATCAGCTCTGGCACACCTAAAGCAATGGCACAGTGTCACTCCTGCTATACGCTGGTAGGATTATGAAACAGTGCTGGAAAATTCCAGGTATAAAATAACTTACAATTTGATTTTCCTCCACAAGATTATTTTTAGCTACGAAGCCAGACACTGAATACCTTACCCTGGAAAGCAGGCTAATGCATACTGTAGAGTTTACAAGCCTAGAGGAATTTTATGTTTCTTTGGTCTGTTTTTGTTCTTCTAAAAGACACAGAGTGTCTTGTCTGGCTGAAGCTACTGGTATTAGTCAACAGTGTCGGGAGAGACACAGAAAAGCGGTTGGCCTCAAAATGATTCCAGTTATCAAGAGGTGTACTTTTGCAAACAGAATGTAGTGCTGTTGGGTGACCTGACTGCCTGCAGCATTCCGTACATGGTGAAAAATCCTTCCTTTTTTAACAAAAAGGATGTTGCTCAATTGGCCTTCTTTGTTTATGAAGATCCTTAAAGCCAAACAGTAGCAAAAATACAAGGAAACAATACCCCCTCAAAAAAAGTTCCAATAAAAACAACTACAGTCTTCAATAGCTCTGCACGAGTTTATGTTCTATTAGCTTTATCCTAGCCCATAAATATTAATGCACCTATAATTTGCTTTTGTAAAAAATAAACCATCCCAAATTTAAAAAATCAGCCTGGCCATAAATCAGTCATGGATGTTGTTTGTCACAGGCTATTTTGGTGGTATTTTTTTTAATGTTATGAATACATTTACAAAAATTTAAAATAACATCTCTGTTTCTTCATCATGCTATACTGGAGCAAAATGTTACAAGAGGCTGTAATTAAAAAGGCAACCTTTATTTGTTTTGCAAAAATCACAGTTGCTCTTTTGGGAGAAAGGGTAAGGGAAGGTAAACAACGATGTGTACCTTACTTGTGCTAAAACTGATCTAATACTGTCAAACTCACACAAACATGAAAGAAGACTCAAGGAAAAACTCTCCTTGGAGAATGAAGGTGTGAGAGAAAGTCTAGCCTCAGAACTCTCACTGCCTTCTCCCCCCTTACCCCTCCCCCTACTCTCTCAGGAGCGAAGATCCGCTCTCTCAAGGAGCAGCGGGTGGTACTGATTTCCCAGTAGCAGACTTGGCATCACCTCCCTGTCAGGAAAAGCCTTGACGGAACTTTCCTTTGTGCATATTACAAACTCTGCTGCCCAGATCAGAGTCCTGAATGCTCCATCCCGCTGTCCAACTTTTATACCCTAGAGCATCCTCCTGGATACGGGCATCTTCCCAGCAGCCAAGTTACAGACCGCCCCCCCCCCCCGCAGGCTTCCTCCCTTCAGCTGCAGGCCCCAGCTAGTCCTGAAATACTGATTTTCACTACATCTTGGGCCTTTTGAGATTCTTGCATCTTCCTTTTAAAAGTTTAAACAGCTCATTGGGTATAAAGAATTGCCTTTGAAGAAGTTTTATGCAGTACAAGTTCAGACTACCTTTCTGATGGCTTGAATGTTATTTACTCTGCTGCTCAAATCTTTCTAACCCATGGAGCAGGAGGAGGAGGAGGAGGAGGAGGGAGGAGGAGGAGGAGGGGGGAGGAGGAGAGGAAGAAGAAGAGGAAGAAAAGGAGATTGGATTTATACCTCGCCCTTCACTTGGAGTCTCAGAGCGGCTTACAAACTCCTTTCCCTTCCCCTCCCCACAGCAGACACCCTGTGAGGTAGGTTGGGCTGAGAGAGCTCTGACACAAACTGCTCCTTTTCAAGGACAGCTATGCCAGAGCTTGTGACTGACCCAAGGTCACATCAGCAGGTGCAAGTGGGGAATCAAACCCGGTTCTCCCAGATTAGAGTCCGCACACTTAACCACTACACCAAACTGGTGATTGCAACTATATCAACTACAGAGTTACGGGTTTGCCAATTCGATATCCGAACCACAGCTTGGCCATCACTAAAGAGATTGTGGCTAGCATATTCAAAGAAATACAATGCTACAAGCCTCTACACAGATAGCCTCACATTTCCCTGTAACAGACATATATCAGGCCCTCACAGGACAGGAGGGTATGTGATACCAGATTAGGTCTGTATATTTTGCCTTAGGGTGGGGTTCCACTCTGTCCAACCTCTCTCCTTCCCGAAAGTCTGTCATATAAAGCTGGTGTTTGAAAAACCATCACAGACAACAGAAGACAAACGAATCAGTACCAGTAGCACATTATGGTGATGAGAAGATGGGTTTGGATCAGTTACTCAGCACAGTTATGGATAAGCTATGGCCACTGTAGCATGTAGATGCACATTTAAAGTAGATACCAAAGTCAAAACAAGTCCTTGTTTATTTCATTTGGAACTCCTCTTACACCTTCCAATACACAGGATCTTCCATTCCATTCCACTCCAACTTGCCATCTAGCATCCTCAACAGTCAAAGGCTTCCTGTTCAGATTTGTTGAGTGTGTTCAAAGTTTCTATAAGTTAACAAGATACTGTGGAGGTAGTTCTGTTCTCCATATGGTAGTTCTGATTTAGGATTTTATATTATTAAAAAGATGTTACCATTTTAAATGCATTTTGTATCAAAAATAAGGTCCTCAGTAAGAATCATTTGGTCACTGATCCACTAACAGAAAAATTAAAGATGCCCTAACAAATATACCCAGACCATACTGGGCTGCCAGCATGTACAAGAGAAGAGAAGGAGCAATTTCTGAGGATTCCCACTTCCTGCTGCAAACTACCCATTTGTTTCTGGACAGGGTCCATTGTCCCTCATGAGCAGCATTTCAGGGAGATCACCAGGTTGGAGAAGGAAGGGCAAAACTGACAGTGATGGAAATTTCCTCCATTAGCAGAAAATTTAGCCTGGATCCAAGTCAGGATCTTTTCCATCTTCTTCCTGCCATAAATCAACACCTAGATTCTTCTCACAGATAACAGTTCTGCAGGCTAAATTACACCTCCACTGCCAGCAAAATAACACACACACAGTGCTATCTATAAGGGACTGGTATCATGCTGTAATTGTCATCTCAGATGTCCCTGACTAAACCAGTTTTATTGCAAGAGACTGAGAAATATAGTCAGCTTCTTCTCACCTTTCACCTATACAAAGAACAAGAATGAACTACTTGACATGTTGTGGTTTCTGATGCTCAAAATGCTGCAGCTGTTGCCCAAAGGAAACTTTAACCACTGGGTACGATGGCTTTGCTCTCCTGTGAATCATACACCATACCGCAAAGAACATCCTCTCTCTTTAACCAAGTACACTCATGTCTTTTCCTTCCAGTTTGATTCTGTCTCTCAAACCCTACGCTTAGCCTTCTCCCAGAATAAGCACAGAATCCGAGGGTGGAATTATGTCACTTACGATTGGTGAACGCTACAGTTGTAAAAGACAAAATCCACAGCTGCAAACTTCTTCCCAGTCTCCTTGGATTTGAGGTAGAGCTTCACAACTTGCTTATCGCCTACAACAGAACAAAGGAAGCACAGTGAACTGAGCTGCAGAAAAGACTGCAAGCATTTGGGAGAACGCCCTGGCGAGTCTGGTCTTGTCAGATCTTGGAAGCTAAGCTGGGTTAGCCCTGGTTAGTACTTGGGTGGGAAACCACCAAGAAAGTTCAGCATTGCTGTGAAGAGGCAGGCAGTGGCAGACCACCTCTGCTTGCCCTGAGAGTGCTACAAGGTCACCATAAGTCAGTTGCAACTTGATGGCAAAAAAAAGAAAAAGAGAAAACAGAGTGCACTCTCTGGAAGAAAGATATGAGTGAGGCCTGCAACAGGGTTGACTAAGTTGAACAGCACCCACAATGAACCCCGGATAGGGTTGCCAACACTGGACTGGGAAATACCTGGTGATTTGGGGGGGGGGGGAGGTAGAGCCAAGGAGGGTGGGGACCTCAGTGGGCTACGATAACATGGAGTCCATCCTCCAAAGCTGCCACTCCTTCCAGGGGAACTGATCAATGTCATCTGAAGATCAGTTCGGATTCCAGGAGATCTCTAGGCCCCACCTGGATGTTGGCAACCCTAACCCCAGTTTGATGGTAAAAATGTCAGTCATTGGTATAAAATGAAAATGTTCTCTTCTAGTGCTGCCACCCAAAGGGCTAGTAGGAAGTGGATCTTGCTCAGCAAATACAATCAATGCCTGTGAGGCATATTAGATGAGAGGACCAGAGGCTTCTAGGTGCCTTACACAGGAATTAGCAAATTGTTTGAATCCCAATTCCAGGGACATGGAAGAAGCCTAAACCAGAAGGTTTTTTATGGTAGAAGTTACTGGGAAATAAGTACTTGACTGAGAACATTTAGGGCAGAAAGTCCGGTAATGAGTTGCAATTCTGTCCCATCTGAAAAAGCAGCCAGGGTGATGCCCTGAGCCTATCTCATATTGTGATACCTAATTATGGAGAAGAATTGACCTTCCTGCCCACACATCCTCCAAACACATTCACTTCAGTCCTCTATCTGTCTCTCCATATTCCCAATTGTTCAGATCACCACAGCTCCTCTCCCACTAACAAATGACATCGCATTTTCTTGCAGAAGACTGAAATGTTAATATTTTCTGTACCAAGAATATCCTGAGCATTTGAGCACAGAGCAAAATGACTAGAGCAGAAACGAATAGGTGAGCTTCCTTCTGGGGGGATACAGAATGAGCAAAATACTTTTGCATGACATAACATCTTCATAACCCGGAGTAAAGGACTATCTGGTACATTTTTATCTTGCCCTTCCTCCACAGAGCTCAAAGCAGCATACGTTGTATGCCCTTCCCCATTTTATCCTCACAACCCTATAAGGTGGTTTAGGTTGAGAGACCGTGGCTCTTGCCAGGTCACCCCAGCTAGAGCCCGTGCTTTACACACTGCATCTCCCACTCTGTAGAACAGACTCGCTGAGGAGCTGAGGGAGGGCCCATCTGTGGTGCTGCAAGGCTATTTTATTCACCAGGACTTTTAAGAACATAAGAGAAGCCAATGTTGGATCAGGCCAATGGCCCATCCAGTCCAACACTCTGTCACACAGTGGCCAAAAATACCAGGTGCCATCAGGAGGTCCACCAACTGTAAGCCTCCTTCAGCAACAAGGCAAGGCAGAATATAAATCTGTTTATAAATGAGTCAAATAAACAAACCCAATCAGGTTCAGTTTGGGGATCTGAACCCAGGTCTCCCAGATCCTCACCCAACTCTCTAACCATTATACTGGTCTGCCTCTCTAGACATTTTAATGGACTCAATCACACCACAAAGAGAGTAACCGGCTCCCAGATCTGTGTCTCTTCTGCTCTTACCAAAGAAGTAAAGGCCTATTTCCACTCTAAAATTCACCAATGCCCGGGTGGGGTGGGAACCTCATGTAACACGCAATTTCCCCTCAGTCTTGCAAGATGTGAATGCTCACAAAATCACATGCAAACACTCTAGAAATACTTTTTCCCAAAAGCTTGAGCAGCACTTAACAGGTTTAAAAATAAACCAGGTAATCCATGTGATGGCTATAGGGAACAGGCTCAGGTGTTATCTTCCTAAAACTTTTATTCCAGACTCAGTTGAGGTAGGGCTGAGGAGGAACCCTAGACTCACCTCGACCCCTGGTGATAGGGATGACATCCTTTGTAGAAGGAGAGCTGCAGTAGATCCTGCCATCTTCAATGCGACTCTCTGACTCTGTAAAGTCTTCAAAAGAGCAGTTCACACCAGCAGAGAGATCAGGGACATTCCAGGCCTGTAGGACCAGCTGAGAGCAGAAACAGGAGGGAAAAAAGGTCACACATAGGGTTACCTGGAGATTGGGGGGAGTAGCCTGGGGAGGGGAGGGGAGGGTTTGGGGGGGGGAGGGACCTCAGCAGAGTACAATGCCACAGAGTCCACCCTCCAAAGCAGCCCTATTCTCCAGGTGAACTGATCTCTGTTGCCTGGAGATCAGTTGAAATCCCAGAATATCTCCAGTCACCACCTGGAGGTTGGCAAGCCTCAAGTCAGGAAGTCAACAAACCTCTCTTCTATATTTCACTATGGCAAAAGGTCTAAAAGCAAATACTGTACCTTCCCCACAAAAATCCCCCACCCTGTTTCAGACAGACTAAAGAAAAACAGTAGTGTTAGAAGTGAGACCTATACAGAATCCTACTCAAGTCTTCTCGATGGGACTTATTCCCAGGAAAGTGTTCTTAGGACTGTACTGCTAGTTACCTACCGGGACTTCTGACATGGTGACAGATATGTTCTTAGGCTGGACAGTCAGCTGGACACACTGGCGCAGATCCGAGGCAAAGCGCTGAGGCTCCTCCGCTCGTTCACACCTGTCCTTCCGCGAACAGCTGTGGGAGGAAGAAGGCAACATCCATGAGGAAAATTCTGAACTGACCTTCACTTTGTTCCTTTGTTTTCTTCCTTGCCTTCTGGCATTCAAAGAGCCCTCCAAAACTTAAAACATTTCAGGAATAACAGTAAAATCAATATAGACCATATCAACTACTAAAATAATCTTAAGAAGTGTCACCAGCTTTCATGTTCAAGCAGCCAAACAACTTCCATCATCTTGCACAACTTTTACTCACAAAGCCCTGTCCTTTTATAATTCCACAAGCTTTGCAATCCTCAAAGGACACGTCCCACCTGAAGTTCAGACAATGTTAAGTCTCTTTCTCATTCATTCTTCCTACACTGTCTGCTGGTTTTGAAGCAGATGCTGTCTAAGGCTCTATGAAAACTCCTGTGTAGCAGCTGCATCCAAGAAACCTTACTGAGGGCACACAACCTAATAATGTCATCAGTGGCTCAAGGCATACCATTTAAATAATAAAATATGAACTTCTCATAACCGCTTCACACATTTATTTTTCTAACATGGAAAATTAATCTTGATGTTGTGGGGGGAGCCAAGATTTAAAGCCCTAAATGGCATGGGACAGAAAGGTCACCTCCACCTGCCCAGGATTTGGAATCTTCTGGTGGTGCCATGCTCTGAGAGACTGATCTAGTTTGCGAGATCTTCTCAGCTGCTGCAGAGAATGTGGAATGCATTGTCACCTGAAGTTCACTTGGTTTGTCTGGTGGAGTGGTTAAGAGCAGCAGACTCTAATCTGGAGAACCAAATTTGATTCCCCACTCCTCCACATGCAGCCAGCTGGGTTACCTTGGATCAGTCACAGTCCTCTGAGAACTCTCTCAGCCCCACTTATTTCACAGGGTGTCTATTGTGGGGAGAGGAAGGGAAGGCGATTGTAAGCCACTCTGAGTGAAGGGTGGGGTATAAATCCAACTCTTCTTCTTTTTCTTCTCTTTCTCCTGACCTTCTGATAATTGAAGAACTGATTATTTCATAAGTCTTTAGGTGTAAGGGAAGTCACTGTTTATACTTATTTCACTGCTGATGTCTTGTTTTGCTTTTATAATTGGTGCTAGTTGATACTTATTCTACAAGGTTGTTTTTTAGTTTTATATTAGCTTTTTCCACTTCTGATCTGATTGCATAAGTGCTACTTACTGGTTTGCTGTTTATATATTGTCATCATTCTTATGTTGTATGATTTTAAGTCACTTTGGATGTTTTGGAAACAAAGTCAGGGGTAGGGAGGACCATTTTGAACAGCAGCTGGGGACTGAACCATGGACATCCTGCATGTAAAGCAGGCACTCTGTCACTGATCTACAGCTCCATCCTGAACAACTGCATTTTATGCAGACAATGATGGCTTTTGGCTAGCATAATAAAATAAACTGATGATTCAGGTAGAATGTTTATTGGCCTGTTGTAAAAAAAGCACCTGTTTGAACTGAGTTGTGCTTCAAATTCATGCGCTGCAGGAGCACCCAAGTCCATCTGCTAACTCCCTGCACCACTCTGTTCAATGCTCTTCCAATCCCTTGCACTTAGCTCTCTCAGACGAAGTTCTGCTTCACTTTAGATCCTTCCGCAAACAGTTCTAGATACGCCAGGCATTTTCGCCAGAGGGACCACTACCCTGCCCCCAGAGCACTGTTCTATCTAGGTACACTGACTCCATTTAATGAGCTTAAACGAGTTTTCTTTGCTTCCCCTCCCTGCATTTGAGATAACATTATTTCATTACGGAGAGCATTTTAATTAAGTGGAGGGCAATACTGAAAAGCAGATACACAAGCGCCTTTCAAGGTCTCAGTAATCTTAGCGATTTATCTCTTGAGCAAGTGCTGGCGTGACATCGCATCACAGAGCTCCTGAGCCACCGCAGCATCCCACCGGCCTCCCCGAGGTACTTCAGGGAAAGAGATGTCTTTGAGTTTAATTAAAATGCTCCACATGGTTAAACAGTCAGGGCTTTGCACCTTCTAAGGAGCTTTTCTGTTCTAAGCCCAACTGCCACCCACAAACCCTTTTGGTTGCTGTTTCTTTTCTTCTCTTGTATGTTCTGTTCTTCCCTCTGGAGGAAGACAGTCTGTGTTGCTACCTAGAGCAGGGCTACTGTCAAAGGAAATCTGATGAAAGGGAGCTTTGACTCTTGAAAGCTTATACCTCCCAAATCTTGTTGGTCTCTAAGGTGCTGCTGGACGCGAATCGAGCTGTTCTACTGCAGACAAACACTGTCAAAGGAAATCTGATGAAAGGGAGCTTTGACTCTTGAAAGCTTATACCTCCCAAATCTTGTTGGTCTCTAAGGTGCTGCTGGACGCGAATCGAGCTGTTCTACTGCAGACAAACACTGTCAAAGGAAATAACCTCTAGAGCCAATAACGTCTCTCCCATTCCTGATACACAGGAAAGACAGGTTGCTTACCTGTAACTGGTGATCTTCGAGTGGTCATCTGTGCATTCACACCCTTGGGATACACTGCGCCTGCGCTGAACCTTCTCGGTACCGATAGCTAGCAAAAAGGGATTTTCGCGCCTCTCCCAGGTCACGCGCCGGCTCCACTGCGCATGACCAAGGAGGGGCACGCAGATCCCGCCAGTTCCTTCTGACCGCCGCCCAACAGCCTTCAAAGAAACAAGATGAAGGGCCGAGAGCAGAGGGGAAGGAGGGCGGGTGGTGTGAATGCACAGATGACCACTCGAAGATCACCAGTTACAGGTAAGCAACCTGTCTATCTTCTTCGTGGTCTCTGTGCATCACACCCTTGGGAGAATAGCAAGCAATAACTCTTACCTGGAGGAGGGGCCGAGGCCCTACACCTGCGCCGTCTGCAAAATAGACCGACCCAACGCCACACGACGAGTAGACCGGACATCAAGGGCATAATGCTTCACGAAGGTGAGCGGAGTAGCCCAAGTCGCAGCGTTGCAGATGTCCTCCAACGGCATACCTCGCAGGAAAGCTGTGGAAGTTGCTACCGCCCTGGTAGAGTGGGCGCGAAGCTGACCTGGAAGAGGTTTCTTAGCCAAAGCGTAACACAGTTTGATCACTTCCACGATCCATCTAGACAGAGTCTGGGAAGAGATCTTCTTGCCTTGTGCGGGCATACTGTGAGCCACAAACAAAGCTGGAGACTGGCGAAAAGACTTAGTCCTGCCCAAATAAAACAGCAACGCTCTCTTAACATCCAGAGAGTGCAATTTCCGTTCCTCTTCATTAACGGGAGACGGGAAAAACGATGGCAAAACTATATCTGAGCGTAAATGAAATTCCGAAACAACTTTCGGTAAAAAGGAGATGTCCAAAGACAATGAAACCCCATGTGGGGAAAAACTTAAGTATGGTGGATCACACCTCAGAGCAGACAATTCGCTGACCCGACGAGCAGAGGTAATGGCCACCAAAAACGCAGTCTTGAGTGACAGCAATTTTAGAGAGCAAGTGGCCAATGGCTCGAAAGGTTTCCCCATCAAAAAACGCAAAACTAAAGCCAAATCCCAGGCCGGGGTTGGAGGACGACGGGGAGGGTACAGGCGAATAAGACCTTTACAAAACTGTTTCGTCTGAGGATGCGAGAAAACTGAAAACCCATCAACAGATGGATGAAAAGCTGACACCGCAGCTAAATACACCTTAACTGAAGAAAAACTGAGCCCCAAATCCATTCTGGACAAAATGAACGCAAAAACAGACCTCAAATCCACTGGTGGAGGGGATAAATTAGAGGAACTCAGGTACTGCAGGAATAAATCCCACTTCCTAGCATAGGAAGTTCTAGTAGACAATTTACGACAGTTCAACAAGACATCATTGATACGGGCATCCATCACGGAAAACGTATTTCCCACAGAGTCAACTTGAGACTCAGAGGATCGTAGTGAAGGACCTGGCCTTCCTGAGCTTGGAGGAGATCCAACTCCTGCGGGAAGTCTACGAAGGATCCCTTGGCTAACCGCAGCAGTGTCGGAAACCACACCTGCCGAGGCCACCAGGGGGCTACCAGGAGACAATGGGGCTTGTCCTGTTGTATTTTCACAAGCACCCTGTGGAGCAGCGGAATCGGAGGAAATAGGTATAGAAAGTCGTGAGCCCACGACATCAACAGACCGTCCCCCATTGACAGAGGGTCCAACCCCGCTCTGGAGCAAAACCTGGGACACTTCTTGTTCAATCGAGTTGCAAAAACATCGATGTGGGGATGTCCCAGACGTTGAAAAAGAGGAAGGAGATACTTTGAGTTCAACTCCCATTCGTGGTCCGATGCTCCCCCTCTGCTCAGGAAATCCGCTTGTTGGTTCAAAGTTCCTGGCAGATGGGCAGCTTGGAGAGTGATGTTCCAATGAAGGCACTCTTCCCATATGTCCATAGCTAGCCTGCAAAGGGACCTGGACACGGTCCCGCCCTGGCGATTGATATAAGCCATCGCAGTTGTGTTGTCCGTAAAAATCAACACAGCTTTTCCTACAACCTGTCTGAGTAAGGATCTGAGGGCAAATTTTACGGCCAGCAGTTCCAGATAGTTGATATGATGACTCTTCCAAAGGGGTTGCCATGGAGCACCCACACAAGTGTCGTCTGTATGAGCACCCCAACCCCACAGGGAGGCATCTGTGGTGATGGACATTACGGGAACGATCGGTTGGAACGGTGCACCCGCCAACAGATTGGTGTCCACGAGCCACCACTGCAGGGAGACGAGGACCTGCGGAGGCACTACCAGTTGAAGGCTCGGAGGATGGATGGAAGGGCGAAATTTCTTTAGAAACCACAGCTGCAACGGGCGCATGCGAAGGCGTGCATATTCGATCACGGAAGTGGTGGCTGCCATGAGACCCAAGATCCGCTGAATGTGGACCGCTGATGTCACGTTGGACTGGAACAAACGTTGAATTTCCAGACGAATGGTATCTGCCCGTTGGCGAGGAAGGTACGCCCGAGTGGCTAGGGAGTCTATGACAGCTCCTATGAACTGCACGCGAGTTGCA